CAACATATCAAGGTGAGTTACATCAAAGCCTCAAACTTAACAATCTATATTAGACATTTAGGCCAATTAAGACAAACTTACACGCACATCACATACGTAAGACTCTAACTCAAGACCTCTTGTTTAGCAGCCAAAATTCTCATTTAACAGACCAAATTGAATTGTGTAAATAAAAAAAACTATAAAGATAGCATAGATTTTGGATCATCTAAAACTTCCATTTCAATCTTCTATATATTCTCCAAATTTTGCGTTCATCTTTATGATTTTCTTGAAGTGATCTGAGTAATCAACGCCTACTTTAAAGTTAGCTTCATTTTGTCACATAAAAAGAAAATAAAATATCTCAAACGCATCTATTTGTCAGTTCTTCAACATTTTCCAATAGAGCAACAGCTCTCTTCCTAAGGAGTAATTATTACATCCGGACAAAAAACCGGAAATCCAGATGTCTACCGAGCAATACTGAGTACTCAATACCGAGTTTTAGGTGATGTGGCGCGTGATTATTGGTCTCTGGACGCGTCCGGTGACCTGACGTAATGATTGCTCCTTCCTAAGGCATAGTCTTGTGATGGGGCCTCACCCAAATCCTTCTCAACATTTATTGCACTAAAAACGACCGGACCTGAATATAAAAATAGCTCTTTTGTGAAGAAGTGAATAAACAGCCAAAGAACGAGAGAAAGAAATCAGAAACATTAGGAAAAAATAGAAAAAAAAAAAAAACAAGAGGACGCGTTAAGCTATAGAGAACTATCAACTATCATTACCTCTCCTTTACATAATTATTTCATGAAAATTTTGTATAATATTATATATATAATTGGCTCATTTTATAAAAAGCAAAACTTTAATTTTAAAAAATATGTTGCATGAATAATAAATCAAATTGATAGGGAGAAGAGATTGTTTGATTTAATGACCTTATATCCATCAATCTGTTAAGTATAAAAAATGTATCAATATTTAATCTCCTCGTGTATCATTTCCAAGTCTCGAGCACATATGTACAAAAAAAAAGTGTAGGCTTCTCGATGTTTTAAATATTTCATGAAGTATATTGCAAAGATCCCAATTAGAAATTTCATAGTACCAAGAACTAGAAAAGAGAATACAAGTATTTAAACTTCCCAATGCTTCTTAACTAGTTGGAACAAATAAGTGTTGAAGAGTCCCATGAATTACAAGTTGCAACTCTTCATTACCCATAACTTTGAGGCATTCTCGTGCAAAAATATTATGTCCCAACTCATGTAGTAAATCATGCATCTTGTATTATCCTAAATCTTTAAACTTGTCAAAGAAAATTTTTTTTACTAAACTATCTAAATATCTTCCTCTAATATCCTCCATAGTCTCTCCTTGAATATGAGATGGCTGAAAAAAAAACCAATGCAATCCACATTCAGCCTACGGTTTCGTTTGGGATGGTTTTTTTATTACTTTTTAAAGTTGCTTTCTAGTTAAAAAATTTAAAAAAAAAAATTATACTAGAAAGCTGCTTTAAGAAGCAGTAAGAAAGCCGTCACAAACGAAGCCTGAATCATCTTTATTCAACATATGATTTTGTAGAAATATAGAACAAAATGAAAATCATATTTGTAGAGACCTGGCAGACCTATATAGTTCAGTCTTAAGATGAAAAAGATATAATTCTGACCCATTGTTGTAGTACTTAATTGCTTTCTAGAACTATCATCACTTGCCTTTCATCCGTGTTAGAATTTAGAACATCACAAATGACCTTTGCCGCCAATGGAGTTCCTGAAAGCTTATTTATTATATTCCAGCAATGGCTCTTAATTTTTTAAGATCATTAGGGTTCTCTACATCATCAAATGCATGAGTTGAGAAGCTCCAAACACTCATCCTCCTTCAGGCCCTCTAATCTAAATATTTCTATCTTTTTAATGACCTTTGAGATTCATCCTTGATTATCCATTAGAGTTGCTTCAGCAATCTTATTTGTTAATTCTCTCGTTTTGGTCAGATATTGTTTGGGAATTGGTTGGGACTTCTTCTGCTTGATTATCTTGTGGTTATCATTTATATGATTTTGGGCAGCTGCCTCCAATGGATGATCCTTACTACCCAATAGGGTGGCAAACTTTTCTATTTGTTTAGCAAGAAGCCTCCTGTTCCTAAGTCTAGTTTTTGGTTATTTTTGCTACCTACAGAATGTCTAAATTTTTGTTTATTGTCCTTTTGAGGTTGCTTTGCAACCTTTAGTTTATTTTGGTGATTAAAGATTTGTGATCTTAGTTTTGGCCTCCTTTTGGGCCTATGTTTATAAATCCTTTTTTTTTATTTAATGATATTTATAGCTGTGGTAATGGATTTGTTTATATTTTTTTTTTTTCCAACAACTTATCCAAAAAAAAAAAAAACCTTGATTGCAACTCATAGTTATGGAGTTCAAACAAGTTGGGCATGTCTTTGAATATTCTTCTGCTAGATGGTTGCTTGGTTAGTTTTTTTTTCTTAGATACCTTGATTAAATGTGGGATTATTACTCCTACAGAAGATTGTGAAATTGAAATTAGTGTTGACACAGCTCACCTTAGCCTGTTGGTTGAGAGCTTAGGCTTCTAACTAAGAGGTCTTGGGTTCGAGTCTTTGTCTATGCGTTGTGTGTGTGAGTTTGCCTTAAATGGCCTAAATGTCCAAAAAAAATTAGTGTTGCAATTACCTTAGTTCTCTGGTTTATAATTTTGCTAAAAAATTTGTTTTTCTTCTACTAACATATTGTTTTATCTACAATAATGAGCTTGCTCCTACAATAATGAGCGCTCAAAAAAAAAAATATTTACAATATGTAATTATTTACCGTCCACAAGCTTCATTAATTTTTATTAATCACAATTAAATGCACTTTCAAACTAAGTCACCATCAACCAGAAAGAGAATATTCGCACTATCTTGCAAAGCTCCAAAAGCACTTCACATTCAGAAGCTCCAAAAGCAATTTTGACTAAATTTTAAAAATCCAACTTAATTTTTGAAAATCCGTCTAATTTTTAAAAAATCTGACTAAATTTAAAATTTTCCTCCCATGGCTGGTGAGCCAGCTCGAGTTCATTTACAGTGAGATGAGCTCGAGTTCGAGCTCGCTTTTTATGTAACAAGCCTAACTTGATAAGTGCAAAAACTCACTCTACTCCACTCATTTACGACAAATTATTACGTCCGCTCACCGTACTCGGAGATATGTCCGGATATTAATAAAATATTATTTTAAATTAAGCGCATAAAAAACGCAAGTAAAGCTCACCTAAAGCACAGATAAAGCGCAGTCAAAGCGCAGGTGACATAGCAAGTTTTAATTGGATGTCCGAACCTATTTATAGGTCCGGTGACCGGACTTAATAATTTTCCCTCCTTTACACCCCTAGTAGCATGTGGATGAATCTTCATTACATTATTAAGTGGCAGACAGCTATGACTGTGCATGTGACGTACTTTTGGATCTTTGTGAAAAACAAGGATACTAAGTGGCAGACGGCTATGTCTTTCTGCATGAGACGTCCTGTGGACTTTAATGCCATCAATTCATTAGAAGACAACAAAAAAATAAATTCAATAAATCTTAATTATTATTATTATTATTATTATTTTCACTTACTTGCATCACGTTACATTGAAGGCTTTAGCTTGTGCTTATCAAATAAAAACAAACTTAAACTTCATCGTCTCATATCTCTTCTCCAATTTGTGAATTAAGAGGTTGAAATTCAATTAACGATTTTTTAATAAAATATTTTTCATTTCAAAAAAAAATTTATATTTAAAGACTGATTTAAAAAGTAGTCAGCTAATGATTATTTCTCACAAAATTTTTACTATTTTTTAGAATACATTTTTAAGTACAAGAATTTTTTTTAAATAATTTTTTTTTCACTAAAAAGTAAAAAATTTTAGTTAGAAAGAAGTAAAAAATTGTCCAAATGATGCCTTCGCTCGACCATTTCCTTAAGTTTTATCGTTTATGCGACACCGCATTTGACCATTGCCAGCTAGAATTACTTGACGCTGTTGACGTCTCCGCTAGGCCGTTGGATTTCAAAGGAACGGTTGGGATGAAGTATTTAAGGATTTTCCATATCTTAATCAATAGGATATCGTTGTGAGCCGGTAGACTATCTAATCTGCATCTCTTCCAATCTCCTTTTTTTTCTTATTTTCGTTGGACCACCCCGGCCGCTAATTGTCATCAAACTTCCACCAAGGCGTCGACTGCCAAAATATTTTCATCTGGCTGTCGATCACCCCAACATTACATCACATCATATTTTTTTCATTATTATACATATATTTTGATGCATTTTATTGAATAGAATATAATTAATCTCAATTAAAAAGTTACCAAAATATCTCAACCCTAACAAAAAAAAATCCCAAACTTATCTACAATACTGCTCAAAAAATGAAAAAAAAAAGTTTGACAAAAGAATTGAAGAGTCACCATGATCAGTTTCATTAAAGTCCAATTAATTGATGACGTTAAAGTAAAATAAATTTAGGAAAGTAGCATGTAGGGGTATAAGCCTAGCACGACTGGTTTATGGGCTCGCGAGTCGAGCTTATGAAGCTCACGAGTCGAGCTTGAGTTCGAGCTCATTTAATAAATGAGATCGAGTTCTAGCTTGAGCCGGCTCGGCTCGTGAGCTCGTGAGCCGGCTCGAATAAATATTAATATTTTTAAAATAATTTTATTTATTAAATTTAAATATTAAAAATAATAATAATAATCAACTAAATTATATATATATATATTCCACCTAATTTTTAAAATTTCCACATAAATTTAAAATTTTCTGATACCAAACAGCCCCTTAGTGTGCCTTCGCTTGACCATTTGCTTAAGTTTTATCGTTTATGCGACGCCACATTTGACCATTGACAGCTGGAATTCCTTGGCGCCCGCTAGGCCGTCGGATTGCAAAGGAACGGTTGAGATGAAGTATTTAAGGATTTTCTTATCTTAACCAGGATATAGCCGTGAGCCGGTAGACTATCAAATCTTCATCTCTTCCAATCTCCTTTTTTTTCTTACTCTTCAGTTGCTCTGCTCTTCTACATCAATCGTCGATGATTGCCATGGCGGATATGATTCTTGATCCAATCATGGAGAAGCTCATCAGCGCTGGCTTCCGTTACCTGAAAGATCAAGTCAGATGGCAGAAACGCACAAAGGAGGAGCTTGAAAAGCTGAAAGAGATTCTCCCCCAAATCCAAGCTGTCGTCAACTTTGCTTCCAACCAGGAGCAGACCATAGAAGAATATCCGGATCTTAACAAATGGCTATGGAAGCTACAAGATGCCATTGATGATGCATTTGACGTCGTTGATGAGCTGGAGTACATGGAGCTTGAAAAGCAGGTGACCAAAGACAAGAAGCTGAGAAGGGTGCGTTCCATCATGAAATCCATGAAGAAAAAACTTGTCAAATTTGGCAAACGTGCTGTCAAAATTGATCCCACCTTGAAGCGACTGGAGGCGGCTGTGCAGAAACTTGATAAAGTTACAACAACTGGTGTTGATACTTTCCTTCATCTTGTAAAAGACGCAAAGCAGGAGCTTCAGAAACAGCAGCTTGAGCTGCACGGAGCACGTGAAACGGGAGCCTTGCCTAAAAATGATCTCATTGGGCGGGGCAAGGATAAGGAGCTTGTTATGGAGTGGCTGAGGAATCCATCAAACGAGCATCGGGGAACTGATTTGTACAGAAACATTTCTCTTTTATCTATAGTCGGCCATGGTGGTATGGGGAAGACAACTCTCTTGCAACATGTTTATAATGATGAAATTACAAAGGAATTTGGTCGTAAAATGTGGGTTTGTGTTTCCAACAACTTTGATGTGAAGAAAGTCATTGCAGATATGTTGCAATCTCTTAAGATGGAGAGGCCTCGTTGTGACACACTTGATGCACTTCAAAATAGTCTTCGGACTGAGATTATGTCCAAAAAGTTCTTACTTGTGCTGGATGATATTTGGGAGGAGGATGAGGAGAAGGATAAAAGCAAATGGGAGGATGTGCTCGCCCCTCTATCTTCTGGGGGTTTTGGTAGTAAGATTCTGCTAACAACTCGAGAAGAATCAATTGCACTGATGCTTGCAAAGGTAATTAAAAAGAAGAAGGAAATAGTTAAATTACAGGGCCTAGAGGAAGATGAGTGTTTGCTGCTCCTCAACTCTCATGCATTTGCTGGTGTAGAGAACCCTAACGATCATGGAAATTTAAGAGTCATTGCTCGAGATATAGTTAAAAAGCTTTTAAGATCTCCGTTGGCAGCTAAGGTCATTGGTGGTGTTCTGAATGAGGACTTGGATGTAAGGCATTGGAGGACAGTTCTAGAAAGCAATTTATTGGGTCGGAATTCTATCCATTCTATCTTAAGACTGAGCTATATAGTTCTGTCAAACAATCTACGAAATTGCTTTGCATTTTGTTGTATGTTCCCAGAAGATCATAAGTTTGATAAATATGATTTAGTCCGAATGTGGATTGCATTGGGTTTCATTCAGCCATCTCAAGAAATGACTATGGAGGATATCGGAGGAAGGTATTTTGATGCTTTAGTCAAAAAAGCTTTATTTGACAAGGTCGAGGATGACTACAAGATGCATGATTTAATACATGAGTCAGCATCTAAATTTTTTGCTCAGGTATGCGGTAAATTTGTGGATGATCAAAAGCCATCTTTCAAAATTTCTGAGACTATTCGACACTTGTCAGTTCTAAATGCAAAACTAGACATCTTAAGAAATATTGAGAAGTTGAAACATTTGCATTCTCTTTTCTTTTTCTATAAAGATTTTAATGATCAGGATCTTTGCGGTGGACTTATTGAAGTATTGAAAACATCGAGAAGCCTACGCTTATTATACATATGTATTGGTCAAGTTGAATTGAAAATGATACCTGAGGAGATTGGAAATTTGATACATCTTCGATACTTAAAGATTCAAGATATTAATTTGACTATGCTGCCAAAATCTCTAAGTAATCTCTATCACTTGCAATACATAATCTATAAGAGGCCATATAGCTCAAGCAATCCTGAAGGTGATGTTTTTTTACCAAGTGACATTAATAGCCTTTCTAACTTGCGTTACGTGGAATTTCCCAATAATTATATTTCATCAATATATGGGATTGGGAAGCTAAAGTCTCTTTCAGAACTGTATATATTTGATCTTAGAGATGTGAGTGGTTATAGAATTGGGGAGTTGGAGAATATGAATGATCTTTGCAAATTAGGAATCAATTGCCTTGAAAATGTTAAGGATGCCGAAGAGGCTTGTAGTGCCAAATTATATTCCAAGAGTAGGCTCAGAGATTTAACCTTATGTTGGAGTAACACTTCTTATTCGAGGAACATCGATTTAGATGAGAACGTGCTTGACGATATTCAGCCACCAAAATGTCTAAGCAGTCTGAGCATAAAGAGATACATGGGTGCAAGGTCTCCAATATGGACGAACAATGTCAATTGGATCTTCAATCTAGAGAAAATCGAATTGTCAGATTGCAGAGAGTGGGAAACTCTTCCACCTTTTGGGCAACTTCCCTTCCTCAAGTCACTGGAACTTTATAACATGCCGAAAGTAAAATGGCTCGAAAGTAAAATTAATGGGATTGATAAATACCGTGCCTTTCCATTGCTAGAGAAGTTATATATTGAGGGATTAGAAGCATTAGAGGATTGGTTTGAGGCAGGAGTAGCTGCTGAAGATGGATGTTTGTTTCCTTGCTTAATTCGACTGAAGCTACGTCACTGCCCGAAGTTGAAAGAGTTGCCCTCTTTGCCCCCTAAGCTCAAGTTCTTGTGGATGGATAACATGGGGTGGAAGACTTTGAATTTTTGTAGCAATTCAAATCCTATTCCCCTTCAATCATTATCTGTCATTGACTGTCCAAACATTACATCTATTCCTCTGGCTGATGAAATAGCAAGGCTTGCAGCACTAAGATACTTGAGAATTAAAAAGTGCCCTAATCTGATCTCTCTGGGAAGATATCGAGAAGTGGAGACCACTTATAATTGTTATCTCATACTTAGCAATCTCTGGATAAGTGATCCATCCGTGTTGCTAATGGAGCCATTGAGATGTGTCGCCTCTTTAAAAGAGCTGACTATTAGGGATAATGATGAGGTGGTTTCATTTCCAAATGAGGTGGAGCAATGGTTTCTGACTGTTAGGTCTTCTCTTTCTGAGCTGTATATTTTTAATCTCAAATCCTTACAGTCTCTCCCTTCCACCTTCGAAAGCTTACCTTCACTTCAGTATCTAAATATCATTGGCGTTCATATGCTTCGGGAATTACCGAACCTTCCTCCCTCTTTGGAACGTCTAGAAATTTGGGGATGTCATCCAGAGTTAAAGGAGCGCTATGGAGAGGATGGAGGCTCCGATCGGCACAAGATTGCTCACATTCCTGATATCTCTATTCGTTAATGAAAATTTCAAAATACATAAAGCAAACTTCTTTCTTTCTTCTTATCTTATTTGTTTGATATATATGAAATGTGAAGAATGCAATCTCAGCGAGAAACAGTTTGTAAGCACTCAATTTTATTTATGTATCACTTCGTTGTCCTTTTATATACTAGTACAAATGCATGTGCACATGAATAAAAAAAAATAATTATTATAGTTTACTTCCAACACATGTTAAGTGGAGAGAAAATAACTGTGGGTCCTGCACGGGTGGGGTTGGTTGCTGGTAGACTCGCAGAGGGATTAGTGGACATCACCAAGCGCGTCACAAGCTGACGTGGCAGCGGGCCGATACCCCCGTTCCCAAAAAAAAAAAAAAAACTTCCAATACATGAAAGAAGCTAAGTAAATCGTTAAATTCAAAATAAAGAAAATTCAAGATCTACTGATTAAATGCACGTGCATATGGTGCACATGAATAAAATTTTAAAAATAGAATATCCAATGACGATTGTTCGACCCTAAGGCAATTGAGATTGATAATTGTTTTCCCAACTTAATTTCTCACATACAACAATATTAAGTAGCAGAAGATGACCTACCAAGATTTATTTCTTTATTATGAGAAAAAGTATACATGAAAAAATGCAAATACAAATAAATAATAAGAAACAAAATGCTGACGTTATATAAATATATTGAAAATAAAAACCATTTACATAAAATATAATGAAAATAAAATCAACTAAGTACATAAATCGACATACACAATTTGTACATTCAGGCCCAAAAACATGGTCAAAATAATATATTTTCTCTTTATTTCTATTCTGAATTCTTTCAAGGTAATCCTTGGAGAAATATGTATCCAAAAAATGAATCAATACGCACATTCTATCTTAAACCGTATAAAATCAATGAAAATTTTCAATAGTAAAGTGCTTATCCCACCTTGTCATCAATAACTTGAATAAGATTCCTATTTATGCATCAATCAATGGCCTGCATTTGACTTCCACCTTTCACCAACAAAAACTATAAGAAAAAATTAAAAAAAAACACACATTAATTAAAAAAAACCTTAACCATTTTCATTCGTGCTTAAGATCTGCATTAGTAGTTTTAATTTTTTTTATAATATTACTTCTAGAAAATTTGTTGGATTTGTTATGAAACATTGTGCTATAGAAATTATTTTTGAGAAGAAGGAAAAATTTAAAACATTAAAACCAAAGACAAAAAAAAAGATTAAAACCAAATATTAAAAAAGTTAAAAGGTTACTAAAAAATCAAAGACTCAAAGTAAACGTGAGACAAATAATCTATAATTAAAATTAAAAAGAACACTTTACCCATAAAGCAGGTTATCTCAATTGCGAAGAATACTTAATACTCAATCATATATGTAGAAAATAATAGCATAAGAGGAGGCATTCATGAGAAACCCTAGGGTCATATGACTCATCATAGCTATCTCAAAAGAACAAATCTATCAAGTAGCAGCCGACAAAAGCCATTTTAGAAGGGTATTAAAATCATATAAAGTTGTCTCAAATGCACCATCTACTCGAAACTAGAAATCTATGATTTAGTTTATCATATAATGCATCAACTCGACATGTATCTTATTTTTTCAGCATAAATTAAGAAAAAAAAAACAAAAACAAAAACAGAGGAACCATCAACATACAACAGAAACCAGTAATGAAAAGTATTAGCTAATAGAACTTGTATTGCTGGCATTAAAAAAGAGGAATAAGATACTACTGATATATTGGAATTATGATTTTTGCAGTCATGTAAGAACACAATGTTTAAAATAGAAGAAAAACAAAGATGAGAGGCCATATTTGTTGTGTTTCCATTCCCTCCAGACATGATATTCAAAACAACATACAAAGAGTAGTGAATATTTCCTTTCATCCATTCCCAATGAGGCTTTACTTTTTGGCATTTGAGTAATAGGGGCTCTCATAAAGGAAAAAGCAAACAACCTAAATCACCTTTTATGAAAGGCATTGGATAAAAGTTTAAAATAATGATATCAGAAGTTCAAATTTGGGGCAGAATGGCATATGAGTGCGAAGTAAAGAATTGGAGGAGACGACTCAACAATGAGGTAAATAATGCAAAGTTTTAATTAAAGAGTAGATAGTATCACTGTAAACATGTACACTGATTTTTAATGACAAGTATTCATATATCAGTAATGTCATATACATACGAACAATGAAAAATTTATATATGAACAAGCATGATAATATTAATATTGATTAGTTAATTATATTTTGAAAATATAAATTATCACTAATACTCATACTAATGATTTAATTAATTAGAATAGATTAAACTAATATAATGTCAATTATATTAATAATATATATAATAAGAAATAAATTAAAAATATTAATTAATTTAATTTAATGATAATTATACTACTAATTATAAAATTAAATTAAATTATTTAATAATACTACTAATTATTTAATTACAATGACTTCAATAGTAAGCCTAGCTCTATTGTGCCTCCACTAACAGTTATGACTTGAAAGTTCGTTAGGGATGTTAAGCCCTATAGAACTGGCCCAAGCTAACCAAGAGGGGGGGTGAATTGGTATTTTTAAAAAATTTCTTTTCACAAAGAATAAAAAACACATAAACCAAAATCACACTACGAGAAAAAATAAACGCGAAAATTAAAGTGCAGAAGCAAGAAATAAGAACACAAAAATTTATAGTGGTTATAAGTGGTTCGGAGTCAACTTCGACCTACGTACCACGTCCGGACCCGCCTGCTCGAGTATTGCACTAATGCAATCGTTGACTCGCCTTATTAGCCCTGCACAACTGGACGGAGAAGCCTTTACAGAATCCTTTTTTGCTCACCCGTTTGCCGCACGAAGGCAAAGGAACTATCTCCTTTTGCTTCCTCCTGAAGCTGGCAAGAGAACAAGCAACCAGATGCTGACTCCTTACCTCTACTGACTTCTTCCACGGATGAGAAACTCTAGACGAAGGAAGGAAGCGATTCCTTTGAAGCAACCCTAGTGAATCTCCCCACAAGCTTCCCCCTTTACAAGATCCTCTCTCCTCCCTCTCTCTCTTTTCGTCTCCTCAAGGCCTTCTCAGGTCAACACAGGCACGCAGTCCAAAGGATATTTATTAAAACGTTGAACAAGAGCTCTTATCATAGAACGAGCTTCAAAGGGAGGGGCGAGCTCATTAATTGAAGTTGCCGACTATTCTCCAGGACGATAT